CCTCACACCCTGTGGGGTCAATGCAGAACCACTGCTGCTGGGCCCTGGCAGGGCTGCAGCTCTGTGCCTCACCATTGGCTCAGATATTGGGGGGGGGCGCTACCCTGTGCCCCCTCCCTCCGACGTGTTCCCAATGAATCCCATCCAGCCCCAATGAAGCCAATTTGATGTGAGAAGGAGGAAGCAAATTAGGTAAGATTTTGCCTGTGTGAGAGAAAAAAATTCTTCCAGAATGAGATTGTTTCTCTAGATTCTTTAGAAAACCAAACCAAACCAAACCAAACCAAAAAATAAAAAAATAAAAAGGAGCCCCTCTCAAATCATTAAAACAAAACAGAACAATTAATTTAAGAGGGTAATAAAAAGTGTATGAAGTCTTAATATTATAAGTCAGGCACCAAGGTAAGACTTTTTGTACCTCTAAATGTTCCTGGAGCAGCTTGGAACAAGAGCCTATATGTTTTGAGTAGGAAAATTAAATACTGTTTGACATTTCTTTTCCAAATGGCTCCATCCTCAGTACTAGTATTGTGCTTGACTGCCATATGGAACAGATGCTATTATTACTGCACTGCAGAGGCACCTCAGAGATTAACAGTTTCCACATGCAGGTATTTATTTTGCATTATATAATTCATGTTTTTAGCATGCACTAAATTTTTATTAGAATGTGGCCACTGAGAATTCCTGTTTTTTGAGCTGTTTCTTTACCACTTCATGAAGCTATGGTATATTAATATGGATATAAAAGCCCTGCTCAGGAATGATGTTTATGTATAAGGCTAGTGGGATCCCTCTATCAAACCCCCCCCCCCTCCCCCCAAAACAAACAAACTAATAATTCCCAAAGCTCTTGGCTGGTTTCCAATGTATAAACTAATTTGAACTGGTCTATGATTTTAGGACTAAGGGTAGAAATACCAAGCTGGGATGCGTTCAGGGTGATAATGATGCTAAGAGAAGATAAGCAGCAGAAAGTAGAACATACTTCATTAGGTACATACTGCAGGGTCAAAAATAAGGTTAGAATATAATATTCACCATGATATATTTGATGTGGGTTAGAAAAAAAACATGATTAAATCATACTTCCAACATCTGTCTGGATGTCTCTGAAAGCTTCATTTCTTTATACTAATTATAGTTTAAAAATGTCAGACTAGAAATACATGACATTTTAAAAGGGCTGATTGCCAGGATTCATCAAATCCATTCATTTGCATGTGAAGCACAATGTCAAATATTATGGAAAACTAGAATAGAGAAGGGATGCTTTATAACCCCCTTGTTTAACACAAATTAGAGAGTATGTCACTTGGAAAGCATACACTATAACTACAGGTGGGTTAAAAAAATTCATGGAGCCTTCCAGATTATACCAGTGGCTGGTCTTGTCTACCATTTATTTAATAAGTGGCCTGCACTTTGCCTGTTTCTTCATTAAACTGCAGTGTATGTTAAAACAGCATGACAGGCATTAGCATACACTTGAGTAAGTAGGAGCCAAATTCACCTCTTAGTAGTTCTGTTGTAACTCCATTAAAGCCAGTGGGGTCTTTCCTGCATCAATAAATCAGTGATTTTAGGCTGTCTTAAAAGCAATGTGTCTTGTTCCCAGTGAAGTGAATTATAGAACTCCCATTGACTTCAGGGAGAGAAGGATCAAACTTATGGACCTGGTTCCTCCAAGCATGTACATACACGCTAAACTTCATGCATATGAGTCGTTCCAGTGACTTTAAAGCTAAGCATCTGCATAAGTCTTTTGCAGCATCTAGGTTCATGTCAGGGAAAGA